ACTTTTCAGTGTTACAAATTTATGCAGCTAAAACTTGTAAAATGTGAGACAGGCTTCTACTCTGTCAATGTTCAAATCCAGCAACATCCAGTTTCGCTGTCACAACTTTGATTTGTTTCTTCACTCTTTTGAATGTGCGTAATTTTAATGTATATTTTCTTGTTTTGTTCAGCACTTGGGGCTGACTTTTGTATGAACTCTGCGATACAAATTTGCCATGGCCACTGGTCCACGTTCTGTAGCTTAGGTCCTGGATCTATAGCCTGTCCGTCCGTGGGAGCGGATCCCTTTCTCAAACTATGGGTCTCCCCGAGGTTTCTCACTTTTCCCACTGGGTTTTCTTATAAGTTTCTCCTTGCCGATGCAGGAGGGTCTGTTGGGCAGTTAGTGTCCAACTAGAACGACTGTAGTGATGATCCAGGACACTTTAAGGACACTTTAACATTCTACAACATGTATGGACATATTGTGACAACATGTGTTCTATAGTTTTCATGTGCCTTAACTGTTGATTCTCTGATCTGTGTTGGTGATTTCAATGGTTTTGTTAAGTCCTCTGAGATGACTTCTGTTGTGATTTAGGGCTATACAAGAATAAATAGTGTATAAATATATATAAACATGAACCAAAAGGAGAGATGCGTTGTTCCAGGTTATTAGAGGAGTGCGGATGTACAGCTGTGGTCCCTGAGCAGGTGATGTCACAGTAAAAGAAAAGTAGATGGATGCATGACCATACATTACATTACTCCCTTAGAGATAGGGTGAGGAGTTCGGTCACACCGGAGGAGCTCGGTGTAGAGCCGCTGCTTCTCCACGTCGAGAGGAACCAGTTGAGGTGGCTCGGGCATCTGTTCCGGATGCCTCCTGGACACCTCCCTGGGGAGGTGTTCCGGGCACGTCCCACCGGGAGGAGACCCCAGGGAAGACCCAGGACACGGTGGGACTATGTCTCTCAGCTGGCTTGGGAACGCCTTGGGGTCCCCCACGGAGGAGCTGGAGGAAGTGTGTGTGGATAGGGAAGTCTGGGCGTCTCTGCTTTGACTGCTGCCTCTGCGACCCGGCAACGGATGAAGCGGAAGAAGATGGAATCCAAAGAAATGGAATGCAATAGATATAAGAATACTACCCAGCTCCCAATCTTCTCTTTACCTCCATCCACACATCCATATCCAGCTCTCACATATTCCTTGCAAAAGTGTTCACCCTCTTACTCACAAATACATTAGATTTAATTTATTTTTCTATGAAACCTCTGTCCTTTCATAATCTCTGTGTCTGGTGTATGTTGTGGATAAAGTAATATCCTCTGTTACAAAAAGAGAAATGCACAGAACCCCAGTGACAGTAACAGTATATTGCTTGGTTGGAAAATGGCTATAAAAGATCAAGCTCCTAGAGGGCTTAAAACAATAGCTAATGACATTTTCCTTTTCTTGGTCACATACTGAAAAACACAAAGGCTGCTATTTTGGTTCATAACTCCAGCAATGTTTCAGAGACATGTCTTCCACTTAAATAAGGAGTAGGTATAACATATATAACCTCGATCTGCATAATGCTAGGTTCTACAATACAAGGGAAAGCAAAAAGCAAAAACTGTATTTTGGTCATATACGGTGTTTATACATGGGAAATATAGTACTTTATTTAGCCCTATCATTTCTGTAAACATGCCGGGAAAATTGCATGGAATAATGTCTGACAGTTTGAAAGCTTGAATTTGGCTTCTATAGTGTTTATTTACAACCTCCATCCATCGCAGCATTCTGAGCAGAAACACAGACTTCCCTCTCCACACACACTTCCTCCAGCTCATCTGGGGGAATCCTGAGAAGTTTCCATGTCAGCTGAGAGACACAGTTCCTCTGTGTCCCGGGTCTTCCCCTGAACTCCTCCTGGTGGGACATGCCCAGAACACCTCTGCTTCCCAAACAGATATCTGAGCCACCTCAACTGGCTCCTGGCCACATGGTGGAGTAGTGATGTAACGCCCAGGTTTGTATGACTAACCAGTTTTAGGGTGGACAAAAGTGCATGAGGCAGGTTGTTAAAGAATGTTAAACTTTTACCACAAAAAGGTTCAAATGTAAAGGTTATTATAAAATGTCCAAAAGTGCAGGTGTGCTTATTGTTGCCAGTGGAGGGAAATTAGGGGAGGAGATGGGGTGGATCTGACCATCCGGTTAGCCAGGCTAAACAGCAATATGTGTGATGCAGAGGTCCTATTTTATCCACTCTCCTCACTGGGCTACGGCCGTAACTCCCCTCCAGCACATCTGGACAAGGGAGTGACAAGACACAGAGAGGATTAATAAAACAACTAAACTAAGTGACAAACAAGAAATAAATGTGACAGTGCCGTGCAGTGGACATTACCTGGAAAAGGGAGGGACAAGAGACGTAGAGACAGAGTGGTGTGCTTCTGCTGCTTAAAACTGAGTGAGTGTACCGAGCTGAATACCTGCACCTGTGTGACCACACCCCAAATGAATGACTCACCCATGCACACGCAAACTCAAAACTAAAGACACACCGACAAAAAGGTGGGGATACAGCTCTACCTAGCAGGTTACACCGGCTATATCCCGAGCCCCTCTAGAGCTTGTCCCCTATCTCTAAGGGATCAGCGGCTCTACTCCGAGCTCCTGTGAGACTGAGCTCCACCATTATGTCTAAGATTGCTCCACTCTGGAGAAAACACATGTGGGCCACTTGTATCCCCAATCTTATTCTTTCGGTCACTACCCAAAGCTCATGACCGGAGGTGAGGGAAGGGACACAGAGCTTTGACTGCAGACGCCCCTCTTTCTTCACCACAACAGTTCGATACAGCTCTCACTACAGACACTGTTCCCTCTTCACGCTCCGTCCTTCCCTTACTCATGAAGAAGACCTGAGATATGTGAAGTCCTCCACTTGAGGAAAACATCTGTTCCTGGAGAAGACCAGGAATCTTTCTCTAGTCGAGTTCCATGGCTTCATATTTGGAGCTGATCTTCATCTGCTTCACACTCGGCTGCAGACTCTGGTCGCTGTGGTCCCTAAACCGGACTCCTTCTGGCCCCTGTCTGCTCAAATTCTGTCCATAATATAAAACAGTGAACAGAAGTCGTGACAAAGGGCAGGCTTGAGGGAGACCAACACTGGGAACAGCTCTGACTATACACGGACCCAAACCCTGTACTCTCAGAGAACCCATTTACAACCTTTTTCAACAACACCTGAGACTATACAAAGCACACTTGACTTTCTCCTTGACTTGTCTAATGCAATTAATTCTGATCATTTCGCCTTCAATGTACGGTTTGCGTTTTTTCCCCTTTTCTAACACACCAGATCCATTGCAATCCTCCTCATTAACCTCTCAGCCCATGTGGCGGACGGGACATGGACTGTATTTCCAGCCCTGGAGTTCACGCCTGATTCCTTCCATCAGCAGAACACAGAAACTGTATGTTGCGTCAGTTTGACCCAGTGACACGCTCCAAATTGGTTTTCTTATTCGTAATGTTGTTATATCTGTGTGTGTCTTTTATGCTATCTGAAGAGACGCACACACATAATGTAATTGGACATTGACTTCACTTATGGTCCACGTCTGAGCAAAGCCAGGTCAGGAACGCACAACTGTGACTCTGTAAATCACTCACTACATTCCCCTGGGAGGAAACACAAACAAACCCACTGACCCACTGGGACCAGGCACCAGGTGAAATAGAGCCGGCAGTACAATAAAACAAGTTATTTTTATCTCATGAAGATAACCTTATGTTATTGTATCATGTGTCGTCTGCGTTAGTCCTAATCACACAAAGAGAAAAAAGGTATTTATCCTTTGGCTTCACAGCAAGAAGGTTGTGGGTTCGGTTCCTGTGTCGGCTTGGGCCCTGTGTGTGTGGAGAAGTGGGTTTGAAGTTGCAGTCAGTGATTTTTTCCAGACGCATTTGCTTTAGATGTTGTGGGAAAACGTCCCTTAACCCTAAAATTAGTCAAGTTATCATGTTTTCAAATAGTAATGGAATTGGCCAGATGCCTATCTCCAAAAATTAATAATGAATATATATATATAATAAATATTTTGGAGCGGGCAGATAAAAATAAACCAATGGGATTCATTAATTGCCAACGAACCAATGGGATGCGTTAACCTCGCTTCACACTCTTCCTGTTTCTCAGGGAACGCGCACCTGAGTTATCGGATTTACGAAAACATAAAAGGACTGAACAGAAAATGCCAATTTCACGTTTACCGCCCACTCTCCCTGTTGTGACAAAGAAAATAAAATGCTGGATGTTTGGTTTGGTGGAGAGGCGAGGGGGGGGGAGTGGTTTCGAGTTGGTGCTATGGCTAAGCTAACAAAAGTGCTTACTGCACCTTTAAGGCAAGGTAAGTTCAAAATCATTAAAAAAGAGTCCCCCTCCCCATTGGCTCCTTATTCTCCTCCAGAAAATCTTACTGGTGGTAGCCAAAGGCAGAGAATGTATTAAATATATTGACATATACAAAAACATACATGATTCTACATGGGCAGATGATCAAAAATATTTTAAACATGAAATACAATTGAAGTTGCAGACTCATAATATATACTGTACATTAATTGTTCTCCTAAAATGACACAAGCCAAAATGAAAAAATGCTATTTCTATTGCTATTTCATTGATGTTGACACTATGGACAATCTAAAATGTGCTTTTTCAAAGTAATATTAAACATTTTCTGATCTACAGACAATTTCAGGCTGTTTGGAAGCTGGTCCCACTGTTTAATGTCGCAACATGAAAAGGCCAATTGTGCAAAATGGTAAATAGTAAACAACAGCACATAGAGTAGACCAGAGATTATTACCGGATGTGGACTAAATGTTCTAATATAAACACATACATTTCTGACAAAAACAACAAGAATACAGGATTTCCTCAGTGTAGCATTGATAGAAAAGCACATAGTAGTATTTTTCCACATGGAGACAAAGAGCTGGCTTGTGACTGGCTGCATGTGCTGCTGTGAGGAGTGGGTTGGCTGTCTCTGTATCTGTGTGCGTCTGTTTCTCTTGTGCGTTCATGTGTGTGTATGGGGTTGTGTGTAGGAGGCTGTGGATGTGGGGGGAGTGGGGGGATGGGGGGGGTCTGCGCTGTGGTGCATTGAGGAAGCCGCTTCAGCCGCCCTAGCGTCTGGCGATCGCCCAATCACGGTGCGGGAAAGCGGAGCCACTTCAGTTCAGTGTGTCAGGCAAGGAGAGGGGGTGAGGAGGGGGGATGGGGGGAAGCATGGGGGGAGGCATGTGGGCGGGTTGTACAGGGGGATGTAAAGAAGAGAGAAAGAAAAGAGTGAGGGAGGGTAGGCGAATGATAAAAAAATAAATATATATATGAGCCAGACACTGCATCAGAGTGTCTTCAAAGCCCCTATGGAGATATGCATAAATGTATGTGCTCTGCTTGGTCCCAATGAAGTCATACCATCAAAAGATCCATGGAATATCATCTTTTATGTTAACCCCTTCATTAGGATGACAATGTACCTGAACTTTAACACCTTTTTGTCAACCAATTGATTCAATTCAATGTATATTTGTACAGTAAACAACCTGCCTAAATACATGTAGAATGAGTACATTTTACACTCTCTCTCTCCGCTGAGGCAAATCTCACTTAGAATCAGGGACTTGTAATAAGGTAGACAGCTCAAGGCGAACATATGCAAATTCCTGATTAACCTCTCTCTGGATTATATTTTAAATGTGATTTGACTGTGGAACAGGTGGAATATATCTATATTCTGTAATTCCAGGAGTTTTACATTTGCCCCTATCCCAGCCTCAGTCCTTGTTTTACAGCCTCAGTCCTGGATCAACAGCCTGTCTCTCAATGTATGCATGTATCACTCACCTGTATGCAAATACCAATGATGATCATTGTCAGAATCAGAATCATTTTTATAGCCCTCTAAGTAACAGGAAATTGCTTTGGCTCAGTGCATCAGTCAGAAAAGAGAGGTAAAGAATAGAGAATAGAGTAAGGCATGATAAAAATCAGCATAAACCTCTAAGGTATAAAATTCAAAATAGAATTATTACGATTACAATTACAGTTACTATGTACAATTATTATGTACAATATACAATATAACCCTAACCCCACCACATGGTGCACACAATATGCAGTTGCAGAGCAAAAAAGTGACAACAGTAAAGTGACAATTATTTTTTTTTTTTATCTTAAAAGTAAATCCCCAAACATGTACTACAGACAAACAAGGATCAAAGTTGTGGACACAGTTTCAAAAATGGACTATAAGATTTTCAAAGAGAATCGGTATCAAATTATTGCCATTTGCAGAAAAAAACTATATTGTGTTGTTTCAAAGCCAAGCTAAATTTGGATGTTGAAATCATTGCTTGTAAATTATATTTTCATGTTATAAAAATCTGGCAAAATAAATTTACAATCGAAGTAAATTCTAAATTCTGTTTTGAGTTTCACTTTTATCTTGAAGGAAAGAATGGATTTATGTTGTATTTTTACTGACAAAAAGAGAGGAATTAAAACAAATTGTTTAACCCCCTTCTTATAAATAGTAATTAATTTTTCTGTCTTAAAACTTGGTTTGGGGTGAAAGGTTTATTTTGTTGGTTGCCAGATTTATTTTTCGGGTTTTCAATGTGGTGGCGCGGTAATTAAATGACACCATGCATAGACCATTGACCCCATACAATTTATGGTTTGCCTACTGCCCAGGAGTTGAGTCGGGTACAGTCAAAATGGACGTGCAAAACTACTTCACTGCTTCACATTGTGTATCAAGTGTGTCAGTGTTTTGAAGCGTTTCAATGATTCAATGAGTTTTCCCGGCTTCACATTAGTTCAGGGCGGTTCGACGCAGCTTCTTAGTGAGGCACCTGTCAGTGGATAACGCCAATGAGCTACAGTATAAATTATTTATCCGTATTTCTGAATAATGTTGGCTAATAAGGATTGTTGTATAGTGTTGGTCACTTTGGTGACTTTTGGTGACTTTGATTGACATCTGCAAGTGGAAAACAAAGATCCATGGTTTGGGATCATTTTGATCCCATTCAACCCAACAAAGTATTTGTTTATTATTCTGGTTTTAAAACTGCTGAGACAAAAAGGAAGCGGACTAAAACCGACAACTGTTGTAAACTGTGGCTTCTGAATAAAGACCTGTGATCTTCACAAAGAACAATCCTTTTGTTTCTGCAAATGGTTTTGGATGTAAACATATTGTATACAATTTAAGGATTCCTTACTGCAAGCATGTCCAAACTCAGGCCCACGGGCCAATTGCGGCCCTCCTTGCCATTTTATGTGGCTGCTAACACAAAGTCGCCATTGAGGCACTTTGACAGTGTCAGCCAACCAACTTCAGCTCCACCAATACACTCACGCTATACCTTGTTGTAAATCTCAGACCCTATGCAATCCATTCATTGTCTTTATTGTCAAAACATTCCAAATAAAATGCAGCTGGGGTGTGAATTAATAAAACACTAAATTCCCGAATTCAGTCAATCCAGCTCGAATCCAGTTTTTTAAACCCAGGTTGTCGGCCCCAGATCAAGTCGGATGAACTAAAGCATAGATTAACAACAGCAATGTTGCTGCAGTCCGATCGCTCTCTTTTCATAGTTTTATGAGAAGATGAATTGATATGAATTCGAAACCACATTTGGAACATGAATCCACTACTGCTATTCAGAAGCTGCAATGATTAAATTTGGACATTAGATGTCAGAGTTAGAAGCTAGTCTGAGCTAGCGCAGAGGTTTCGACAATTTGAAACTGTCTGGCAAAGAAAGCCTTGGCGTGTTACGGGGCTTCATCTGCCCATCACTAAGATTAATTATTTTCGGCCCATCCAACCATTTTCTTCCGCTTCATCCGTTACCAGTATTGTGTTGTGTTGTGCCACTTGTCGAGTTGTGCTGCCTCAGCTGTTTATGATGTAATGCAAACCTGACATAAATTCCGTGAATTGTTTAAAAAGTTTAAATACGAACAATTAAAGACACGAATGTCACTTTTAATGCATTTTGAAGCGAGATGTTGATGGTTTCCTGTTGTGATATTTGAGTGTTAAGCATAAAAGTTTTGTGTAAAGTTTAGTTTAAGCTGTCAACTGCTCCTTTGTGACCACACTGCTACTGTGTGTTAGCAGTCCTCTTGTCGAGTTGAACTGCCGCATACGTCATTTTACTGTCGTATAGCCGATGACGTGTCCTGTGGTTTACTTGACAGCTAATAACTTAGATTCAGATTCAGACTCAGATTCATTTATTTGCTATTTGCAGTAAAACCACATGAAACCAAACTGTGCATGACTACCCCAGTGTGCACCAGGATGGCACACACCAGAACTCTTGCCACGGCGCCATCTTTACGGCGCCATGCAACACAACTTAAAATTTGGTTATAATTTCCATTATCAACCCAACAGACCAATTGAAACCTCTGCTGCCAAGGGAGGGAAAGAAGATTGACCGGTAAATCGAGAGCTTTGCCTTTCGGCTCAGCTCCCTCTTCACCACAACGCTCCGATACAACAACAGCATCACGGCACACGCTGCACCAATCCTCCTGTCAATCTCATGCTCCATCTTTCCCTCACTCAAGACTCCAAGATACTTGAACTCCTCTTGAGGAAGAACTTCTACACCTGGAGAGGGTGAAACACCTTTTTCCCGTCGAGCACCATGGCCTCAGATGTGGAGGTGCTGATTCTCATCCCAGCCACTTCACACTCGACTGCAAACTGTCCCAGTGCGTGTTGCAGGCTTTCTGCTGGCTATTCAAACTGAGCTCTGGCTCCGGTCATACAGGGACCGGATGGCCTTCAGTAGAGGACCCCGGACCCTGTACTCCCGGAGAACCACCCAAAGGGCATCCCGAGGAAAGGTCAAACGCCTTCTCCAAATCCACAAAGCACATGTGGGCCGGTTGGGCGAAGTCCCATGGTCCCTCGGGTATTCAATGGCGTTTAGAGCTGGTCCAGTGTCCCATGACCAGATTATCACACTGGTCCTCCTGCATCTAAGATTCGACCATCGGTCGAATTATCCTCACCAGTACCTTGGAGTAGACCTTACCGGAGAGGCTGAGGAGTGTGATCCCACAATAATTGGAACATACACTCCGGTCCCCCTTCTTCTAGAGAGGGACCACCTCAGCCAAGACAGTCCCACAACATCCAGAGACTTAAGATAGTGAGGACGGATCTCATCCACACCCGGAGCCTTGCCACCAAGGAGGCTGCCAACCAGACTGCCGCCTCGTCCTCTCAGCACCGAGGCCCCATGGATCCCCTATGTGGGTGGTGGGAGGGCTAGCCCGCGTTATCCTTTAGCTCTCTGACAATCTAATCTAGACAATCTGAAGAATCTAAAACTTTCCTTAACATCAGTTTTTATGGGGATTTTAGTGTCCCTTGTCATCCTAATTGTTTTTTTCTTGTTAAATCCATCGGTTTTCTATAAAGCCACACAGAGCAACAAACTTTGCTTGTTTTCCCCCCACTCTTACTTCGCTCTAATCACACACGTGCTCTTTAGAATTTGGCGCAAAGCACCATCCACTCGTCCACGCAGAAACGGGAGGACTAGAGAAATTCACAAATATTGGCGACTTCCGCTAATCTTTTGGTGCCCATTGAGGTCCCATGCACCACTGAGCTCAAGCCATTGATTCCAACTAGTCATGGATAGACAACTCTAACTTTTTACTCTCACAGCGTCTTGAGGCTGTAGATCCAGGACTGAGGCTGTGGACTGAGGCTTCAGATACAGGGCCGAGGATAGAGATTCAGCATGACCGCCCATGGATCCATTAATCTATTTCCTTATTCAAACAAAGAATTCCCAACTTTTCCTAAATGCGATACTAGGGCTGGGCGATATAAACAGTATAAGCGGTATGCGATATAAATTTGGCCCACGGTAGAGATTTTTGTTATACCGGCATATTGCGATAGGTCATTATGTCAGTAAAATACCTTTTACAGTGAATGGTATTTACTGTAACATACATAAATAATGTATGTTATTTGTCTCTTTATTCGTCTCACAACTGATTTTCTAACTCAAAAAATATATATATTAGATTCTAATATATAAATAATTAACAATCTTGACTATTTTATGCAAGAACCTGCTAGACCTATATTGAAATTCACACAACAAATTATACCGCAATATATACCGTCTACCGTCTGTGTCCCAAATTATACCGCAATATGAATTTTAGGCCATATCGCCCACCCCTATGCGATACACTCATAACCCTGCATTCCAAA